AGTGTCCCCGTCCTTGCTCAGCCTTACCCTCCTCCCGCATCTGCTCGTACTTCCGGACAGCGATGTGCCGGCGCCAGGCCTTCTGGATCACCCGGGCAAAGCTGTCGAATTTTCTCTCCCGCATCTCTTCGAGGAGGAAGAGCTGGGGGACACACGGGGTCCTGAGCGCGGCTGGCGGGGCGTCCCCCAGCCCCCTTGCTGCATGGCTTCTCTCGCACATCGGTACCCCACACCCTCCCCAGCGCTGCCCAAAGTGGTGCTCGGCTGCGTCCCGTGGGGCGAGGGGCAGAGCTGGGGCACCTACCGACTCGGGGTTCTTGACAAACACCTTGCTCCGACCCATCTGGTACTGGTCCGGGTCCATGTTGACGGAGCACAGCAAGTGCTGCACCCCTTGGCGCTCGTCCCCGCGCCAGGACGGCCACGTCTCGGGGGTGAGGATGGCGTAGCTGCGGGGAGAGGGGCCGTGAGTTGCGGCCGGGCTGCGGGGACCCGCCGTCCCCCCGAGCCGGTGGTCGCTCACCGGTGCAGGAATTTGTGGAAGAGGCGGCGGTAGGCGAATCCCGCCCGGCGCACCCGGATGTTCTCCTTCAGCCCCAGGTACTCGACTTGGTGCTTCACCCTGCGGAGCCGGGAGGGACACGCTCGGTGTGGGACACGCTTGGTGTGGGACGGCAGGTCGGTGGGGGACGTGCCCCGGCCCTTTGGCCATTGCTTTGCACGGGGATGCCCTTGGCTGTGTGAGAGCCTCTTGGGGCTCAGACGGAGCATGTAGAGGACCACGGGTGTCCCCGCACGCTCCTCAGCACCCGCCTCGTGCTCCTCTGGGTCTGTGGACAGCACAGAGGGACCAGCCCAGGGGTGCAGTTTTTGGAGGAAAGCCGGTCCTGGCCACATGTCCATCATTGGGTCCTGTTCCCCAGGCTCTGTGGGCTCCCTGATACATGGCGAGGGTCCTCCGTTACCTGCTCTCCTCCCAGTCCCGCGGCTTCTTGGTCTCATTGGGCTTGATGCAGCGGATGTAGTGTGGGGTGCACTTCATTAGCGTGTTCACCAGGTCGTTGGCCTGTTTCTGTCGCAAGGACCGACTTCTGTAGCATTAAAGGTGTTGGTGGGAGCCCATCACCCTGCTGCTGCCCCAGGGGCACCTACCGTCCTGCAGCCTCCGGGACGTACCTTGATTTTGGAGCCCGCAGTGGTTGGTCGTCCCTTTTTGTCAGAATCGAGCTTTTCTGGGAAAAGCATCCGGATGAAAGAGCTGAAAGGCAGGTGACAGTCCGTGGGTGAGAGCTGCCAGGCTCACCCAGCTTGGCTGCTGGCGCCCGCGGGGCGATGCAGGACACTGAGCACCCCGAGCTGTGGCTTGGGCAGGGGCAGGACCAGCAAAGCTTTA